AGGTGACGATTCTTGGATGCTCACACAGCCCAATTTCTGATTCAGTGTTGGAGTATTTTAGGATAGGACAAGTGTACTAAAGTCCCTCCCTTATTCGATCACTTGATTTACAGTGACGCAGACTGTCACTGTTTCTCAGACTGTTCACGTAAAGTCAAGTAAATGAAAATGTTACCAGGAAGGGGCCCTGCACCTTGGTGTCTCTGCCCAGGGCTGGCCAGCAGTGCGTAGGTTCTTGACTTTGCGCAGGTGAATTTTAGAGGAAGGTTATTAAAGTCGGGGACATTGAAACAAGGAAGGGCTGGGGACATGAGTCCGGGCTGGTCTTTTTTGGCTCACTAAGAAGTCATAGAAAGGGGTTCTTGGGGACAGGTTCAGAGGGTTTTTCTGGGATGAACTGCTGCTGCCCATTGCTGCCCTTGGATGCAAGCCTCTTGGGGTCCTTTATGTTTAGGAGACAGATACCTGTGGGGTGAAGAAGTAGGGAGGAGGGGAAAAAAGCTGGTGTGTTCCTGTGTCCCTGGGAGGGAGAGCGTGTCCTGGGACCTTAGGTTTGGTTTTGAGAGGTATTAAAAGCTCGGCATCTAGGGGAGGTCTTAGGGGAGGATCAATAAAATATCCAGCAGCTTTATGCTGATGTACAAAGTGATATTTATTTTCTGAACTTCATCTGTCCTTGGGCAGTTGGCAAATGGCACTAATTAGGTTTCTGCTATCTACCCCTCTGAGCAGGGTGACTTAAGTTATTTACCCTCTGGTTGAGGAGAAGTGCAAATCCTTTATTCTTAATTATCCTTCATTTAGGAAAGATAGGATTTAACTATCTGTCTCAGTTTCCCTTTTCTGCTTGTCCTAGCTTACTAGCCTATCCCAAAGAGTCATAAAACTTCACTATGAACACTTTCAATAGCAGGTAAAATAAATCAGTCTTTCTATTCATTTATAACACAAGTACCAGGGAAACATATTATTATTTTTGTTAAATGGAAACTTAAAGTCAGGCACTCAAATTTACTTTTTGTTAGTCATGAACCCATCATCAAATCAGACCAGGAACAGATTTTTAGAGCCAAAGTAAATGGAAAATAAAGATTATTTTTCATGAGAAAGTTTCTGAATGCCACTTTTATTAATGTATATAATTCCCTTCAGTGATCTGTTAATCACCACAGTCATCACTTCTTCAGGATCCTTCACAAATCTTTTACCAAGTGCTTCTTTCACCATCCCTCCCTTTTTCCTCCCTCCCCCTCTCTCTTGCCTACTATGATACCATTTTCAGACATTCTAAGCGGGTTAATGTGTGGGCTCAATAGCAGGCTGCAGAGTCCTCATACTTGAGTTGAAAATTATTTGTTTAAGACTCTTTACTAACAGATAATTCATTGGGCTGAAAACACAAGCTTTGCTATTAATGTGTCAGATCCGTAGTATTTTCTCATGTTCTGCATTATCTTGCTAATGACTATGGCAAGGGAAAGGGAAACTGTGGCTGAGTGGATCTGTGCTGGGGGACACTGATTTCAGAAGGCCAAGCAGGCCCCCAAATATCACCTGCTTTTCCAAAAACCTGCTTCAATTAATTTATCTCATCCTTTCTTGATTTTATTAATAAATAAAGCTATTTATTGGAACCAAGATTCTCATAAGTATATTAGAAGTTGTGTAACATAGACTTGCATTTCAATTATTCATTTTTTTTTAATTGTCAAAGAATTCCTCTCAATATTACACTCTGGATTTCATTCCAATTATAAGTTCATATTATCAATAAGCTTCCGTTAAAAAATCCTGCATAATTTTTGTCTGTGTCATTTTTGGTTTAAGTCAATTAAAAGATATATTGAAACATAATAAAACTACCTACCCTCTAAAAGGCTGCCTCAGACAAAATGTGCTTTTTTTTCTGAAAAATTGTGAGAATTTTTCTGTGCCCCCATTCAAATGAAGAATACTTTGCTTATTACTTTGTGTAATATCATCTGTATCAAATTTTTTTCATTTCAATATTTTTCATTTCTTATCAACTAAGCATGAAAAGATGATAATGGGCTTTCCACAATTTTTGAATAAATAACTGCTTTCAGCAAACAACTTGTTTTTTTTTACCATGTAGATTATTTTTTTTAGGACTGGAACCAAGTATTATTTTATATTCTGATTCTCTTCAAGATTTTTTATTTGAGTTGTAAATTGCGCATGATGTTTTAGGTAGCACATGTTTATTTCTGTTGAAAGAACATGTCCTATTTTTGAGGAAGGGAAAAAAAAAACTTGTAAGACATCAAATGTTTCTTGCAAAACAATTTGATGAAATAAATGTAAATGAATCAGATCCATGTGAATTGTATTTCAATTAAAATGAATGGGTCTAAATATGAAGGGAGTAAAATGCTTGAGGGAAAGAGTGTAGCAAGTCAGGAAGTGACATTTGTTTTGTTTTCATCAGATTTGGAGTCTTGAAAAATGGCCTAGTACTCCCAATTCAACTTCATTAAGAATCTCCCTTAAGCCTAATGAAGTTCAGAATGGGATAATAATATGAAAATTCATTTTATAGCTTTATCTGGCTCATTTATAATAATATAGGCATCAGGTATTGCCACTGTGCGGTTCTTCAAAAGCATTCTCAATTTAAAGTTGGTGGCTTTTCTATTTTTTTTATTTTCTTTTGAGGGTAAACAGTACATTGTAATGAAGCTAAAAGTACGTTGTTTTTTTCATAGAACCACATGTAAAGTTTTCAGACTCACACAGCATCTTCATATTTCTTTCCTCTAACTGAAGAGGATCCAATCTAAATGAAAAACACATGGAGGTTTCATGTATACACACAGTGTATACACACATGAGTAGGAGTAGTACAGAGGAGAAAAGGCGATGGTAGAAACAGTGAGAATGAAAGAGAATGAGAAGGACAGAGAAGGGGAAAGGAATAAACAATGTATACAGAGTTAGGCCATCAAACCTCATTTCATAAAGCACTCAGATCACACTCATTTGAATCACAAAAATTGTATCCCATAGTTTTGTTGTCGTCGGAGGAATCGGTGGGTGGAATTCCCCTGTTGCTAGTGGGAGTGAGGTGGCTCTTACCATATCTTTAGAAAATGAATTTTCTAAGACTCTCCTAGGAGACTAAATGGTTTTTGTTGGCATAGAATTATATTTCTTTTTTTAAAATAAATTTGTGTGTATTTTTTTAAATATATTTTTATTGATTTCAGAGAGGAAGGGTGAGGGAGAGAGAGAGATAGAAACATCAATGATGAGAAAGAATCATTGATCGGCTGCCTCCTACACACCCCACACTGGAGAATTGAGTTCACAACCTGGGCATGTGCCCTTGACCGGAATCAAACCTGGGACCTTTCAGTTTGCAGGCTGACATTCTATGCACTGAGCCAAACTGGCTAGGTTGGAATTATATTTCTTGAGTATCAAAGATCCATTGTCCTTAAACCAGTCCAGGAAAATATGTAGCTAGGGCTCCAGCAAAGCCAAAAATAGGGCCAGTGTCCATGGTTTCCATTCCATGTTGGACCTGGGTTCAATGTAGCATCAGGCTAATTAAAATTCATTAGTCCGAGAGTCCTGCTAGCCAGGGGTCAGGAGGGAGCAGCAAGAGAGGGGGCGGTGTCCTTTGTTCAGGAGTTAAGTATTGAGATTTTGCAATGGCCAGGCTATTCTGGCCACTGACTTGTTCCCAGGTATAACTGACAAATAAGCATCTTCCCACATCTCCCAGACCTTACTGGGCATGCACCTGGTTTCCATTCCTTTCCCCAGCACTCTGTGGGACAGACTAGGATAATGTTAACTGCAACTTCCTGGCAAAGCTGTATAAATGGCATGCCTATATTATCTAGTTTTCTCCTTTCCTGTTAAATAATAATTAGATTATTATAATGGTATCTGTTTTGTATTCATGTCATTTATGCTTGCTTTAAAAACAAATGCATTAATCTGAAATTTGGGCAGGGGATGAACTACCAAATAAAAAAAAAAGACATAAATAAGTCTCGCTGTTAATTGTCAACATGTCTCAAAATATGAGTAAGTTTGATGTGTGAGCTGTCACTCTTTTTTAAATATGTTTTTATTGATTTTAGAGAGGAAGGGAGAGGGAGAGAGAAATAGAAACATCAATGATGAGAGAGAATCACTGATTGACTGCCTCTGCACGTCTCCTACTGGGGGACTGAGCCCGCAACCTGGGCATGTGCTTTTGACCGAAATCTAACCTGGAACCCTTCAGTCCACAGCTTGATGCTCTATCCACTGAGCCAAACCAGCTAGGGCATGGCTGTCATTCTTAAAATATGTGTTCCATAATGAGGCAGATGTGTTTTAGGTTCTAGCACAGCCATTTGTTATTTAACCCTCCATTCATCCTAGTCTAGCAGGTGAAAGTGGAGTGGCTAAGCTGGCTGTTTCTTACACACTTAAAATCAGTGACGATGTAAGAATCATAACTGTTTCCAAGCTCTCAAAGTTACTCTTAATGGCTCTACGAATCATTGCAAAGTTGTTGGTGGTGATTTTTTAAAGATTTTTTTTAGAGAGAGAGAGGAAGAGAGAGGGAGAGAGAAACATCAATGTGAGAGGGAAACATTGACTGGCTGCCCCTGCATGTCCCCCACTGGTTATCAAACCTGCAAACCAAGCACATGCCCTGATGGGGGAATTGAGCCTGTCAACCCTTGGGTGTACCCGATGATACCCAACCAATTGAACCACACTGGCCAGGGGGCAAAGTCTAAATTTTAATCCAAAATTGTGTCAATGAAAATATATGGTCAACTTTATTTTTTTTCACATCAATAATCAATATTTCTAAGGCTCTCAATTAAGTAAGTGTCTCTACGTAGGATCTATGCTCAGAACAAAATACAATGGCACTATAGTGACTTATTTTCCATCATAATTTGCAACAACTTTTCATAAGCATTAAAAGATCTAATCTACTTTGCTTTTGGTGTTTTTCCACTTCCTGACAGGCCTACCCTTGCAGCAGTGATAAGGAATGTGAAGTTGGGAGATACTGCCACAGTCCCCACCAAGGATCTTCAGCCTGCATGGTGTGTCGAAGGAAAAAGAAGCGCTGCCATAGAGATGGCATGTGTTGTCCTGGTAACCGCTGCAATAACGGTAAAGATAGTGTTCAGTGTTGCTGGGCTTTTTTCTCTTCATGTTAGGCTGCCTTCTCCTTGGATTCCTGACATGTAAGGAGTCTTTCCAAATAGGCAAGAATTGGAGCATAGTTTAGATAAGATTACATGGACTACCTCTAAAATCTTAGTGTCCCTAGGCTTTGATCACCTTCTGTATTTAATAATCTACGCTGAGTTGGACTTACCCTGTTGAAGAGTTGCGTTTAAATAGCTAGTTCTATTCCACTAAGCACATGAGCAAAGACATCCAAAAGAACTAAAGAAAATAATCTGCTATGATTTACCAATGCAATTGTGAGTCCATCTCCCAATTTCATACGTTTCATACCTTGAATCTTATACTCATTATCCTCTTTTGAAGGCCTTACCTGGTGGCACACTCAGATGGTGATAAAGTGATTGGCTCCTATGAAAGGAGATACAGGAGTCTATTCCCCAGCCATTCCATAAACATGGCTACACTCAATCTCAATTAACTTATGGGCACAAATTCAGCAATAATGAAATGAAAAAACCATAGACAACATGTGGTAAAAACACGAAATAATTGCAGAAGGTGATCAGAAACATACACTCAGTCACACAAACAACATAATCAGGCTCATATTCTTATACTTGTTCCTTACCTCTGGGCATAGTCCTACTGGAAATGCCTTGGACAGGAGGTAAAGGGAAGATGACCTCATACCCTAGAGAGGTTTACAGTGTAGATTAGGATTGTACTGGTGATTGAACAAAGGGACATGAGTCCCAAAGATGCATGTCTGGACAGACATTTTTAAAGTATGAATAGGTAATATTAATTTAATACTTCACTATAGCACTATTCTGAGCCTGCACAAGTATTCACAATAGCTCAGTAAAATGAATTTCTATTTTTTTTAATTTTGTTTTATTGTTTAAAGTATTACAATGAATTTCTATTTTTATTCCTATTTTTGCCCAAGGTCACTTAGTCTTGAAAGAGACAAGATGCCAATAAAATTTGAACTCAGGGCCAAACTATTGAATATTCAGTTTCAATAAGTTGGTAAATGAACAAATGGACAAATGAAGAGATAGATGACAGGTAGGAGGATGGATAGATAGATAGATAGATAGATAGATAGATAGATAGACGTCTTCATGCCTTACATCAGGAGAATACATGGGTAAGAACCACATTGTATAGAATTGAATAAGACTAACTGCTTACCTGACTATCTCCAGGCATCTGCATCCCAGTCACTGAGAGCATCTTAACCCCGCACATCCCAGCTCTGGATGGCACTCGGCACAAAGATCGAAACCATGGCCATTACTCAAACCACGACTTGGGGTGGCAGAATCTAGGAAGACCACACACTAAGATGTCACACATAAAAGGTAGGGATAACTGTAGTTCTATGTTTACTTTTATTGTTTCATAAAAATGTATAGAAAATATAGTTAATTGATTCCATTGGTTTTAGAAATATACAAAGAAGATAGTTTAAAGGCAAGATTTTAACTGGATTTATTAATTCTTAATTTTGAAGATGCTTAGAGCTTCTTAGAGATCTTAAATTATTAGAAAATGCGTGTTACAAGAATTGCAGTAGTCTGATCAACTCTGTCATTTTCTTAACAACCCTGTCTTTTTACATGAGATTTAGAAGATATTGCCTATGCAAGCATTTGTCACATATCAAAGGATAAAGCATTCTGAAAAATAAATAGGAAAATGTTTGCTTCCAAATGACTGAATCACTATGTTTTTGAGTCTTTCTCACCTTTGCAGATTCAAAAATTTTATTTCACTAGACAACCAGCTACCATACTATTCATAAAATAAAGTTACCAAGAATAATTGGTTTCTAGTGTGATTATGAATAGCCATAAAGCTTCTTAATCTCAAAATATTTCAGAAGTTGAATCGCTGATAATTAAATTTGAAAACATGAACCTTATTACCAGTAGTAAAATTTTGAAAGTATGAAACACATCCATTTTTAAAGGAAGCTTTTTGCAAATCTATTCTGTGGAGCACTACTCTTTCAAGACATTCTGTGAATAAAAGTGTCTTGTGTTCAAGAGTTTTATAATAATATATCTCACCATTTTGGGGACTTTATAATAAACACTAGAGGCCAGGTGCACGAAATTCGTGCACAGTAGGGTCCCTAGACCTGGCCACCGATGAGGGCCTATCTGGGCCTTTTGGCTGCCGGCCAGGGCCTTCCTTCATTCTGCACCACCCCCTGGTGGTCAATGCATGTCATAGTGAGTGCTCAAACTCCTGGTCTCCTGGTTGAACTCCCGATGGGACACTTTGCATATTAGCCTTTTATATATATAGATTGCTCTATTGAAGGCTCTGAGAAGTCCAGCAATGAGGAAAACTGATTAACTTTTTAAAATACTGTATTTCCCCAACTTGCTTGAACACAAAAACTGTTTCCCCACATTCTCATGTTCTGCAGAGAGAGTATTATATTGGATACTGACCTTAGTCTGACCTGGAATACAAATGGTCCTGTGGATAGGACTAGAGATTGACAATTCTTCTTCAATTACCCTTTGTCTACACTCCTAAAGGCCTAAGTCCTTTACCCATATCTCTTATTACTACTCCACCAAATTCACATGCAATTGTTAATACATGAGTATTTCTCTTTACTCAAAGATGCCTATGTCATTGTGTACTTTCAAATTTGCTAAGTATTTATATATAATTATATGTGTAATTTTATGATGGGTAGAAGGAAGAAACCTTATGCTGATGGCTAGTGAGTTGTGTTCACATTACACAGTAGGATTGGTTACATTTGGGATGACAGAAAACCCTTTTGACCAGGATTCTCACACTATGGCCTAGGAACCAAATCTGTCCTGCTGCCTGTTTTTGTAAATAATCTTTTACTGTGTCACAGACTTGCTCATTCGTTTAGGCATTATCAATGGCTGTTTTTGTAAGACAGCAGTAGAATTGAGGAGCTATGATACATATGATCTAAAAAACCAACTTTATTTCCAATCTGTATGTAACAGAAGTTTGCTGACCCCTTCTTTATACAGGTTACACATCAACCCAACTGTGATGTTTGAAGGCTCTTTGCTGACTTAATCATTTTTTTCTGAATTAAATACCCAGATTTGTGCTTTCACGTGTTTTGTGTATATGTGTTTGATTTTTCTTTTTTGGGGGAGAGAGAGAGAGAGAGAGAGAGAGAGAGAGAGAGAGAGAGAGAGAGAGAGAGGTATCAATGTGTGAGAGTGAAACATAGATCAGCTGCTTCATCCACACCCCCTACCAGGTATTGAGCCTGCAACCCAGGCATGTGCCTTGACCAGGAATCAAACCGGCAACCTTTTGGTGCACAGGATGATGCCCAGCCAACTGAGCTATAACAGCCAAAGCTCCACATGATTTTTATGATGACTTCGTGGTTGACCCTGGGGCTTTCTGCCCTTTCTCTGTATCACAACTCTTTCTAGACTGCATTTCCTAGGCTCCCTGTCAGTGGCTCCTGGCCACACGGGTTTTGCTGTGGTGGGACCCTGAGAGAAAGAGGAAAGAAAAAGCCAGCATGTTCTCCCTGACTCCAGTAGTGCCTCTGGCAGAGCTGTATCTCCTTGGGGTTTTAGTCCCATCAGTTGGGCCTGATGAGTTCTCATCCCAGCTAGTGATCCCGGCCCTCTGTTCTGCCATCCTTGGCTCCCCTGGATTCTCCAGCCTGAATGTGGTAGTGGCTTCCTGCTGTGTTGCTTTAGCATCCTCTGGTACATCTTAGCCCTGCCACTACCCATGTGACCAGTTCTCTGCATTAAATACCTTGTAGTTTGAAGAATCGGTTTTCCTGGCTAGCCTCTGATACATGATATTAGGAGTTCCTGAGAATTTCAGCCCCCTCCTTCAATCAGAGTTTGTTTACACCTCTCAAGAAAAGTATAACATTAATTAATTTGAAAGCAATTAGTTTTATTTTCTTATTTCCACTCAACTAGTAAAAGGAGAAATAATAATGAGCAGGGAACTATCTAGAAGTAGAGAATGAAAAAATAAAGAGAAGACAAAATACAGTCTAGCTATTTGTTAAATCTGATATTCAGACAGCAAACATGAAAATAAACAATAACGGATTGGTCAGATTAGAGGAAGAGCCAATTGCTGTTAATCCAAGACATTATGGAAAGCAGCATAAGTAAAACTACTTTATGTGCTTCTGACTGCAAAGCAGAACTGTCCTGAAGTGTGGAGGTGACAGATTTTGGTTATCATCCTGCAGGGCACGAAGGAGACCCCTGCCTGCGATCATCTGACTGCATGGAAGGGTTTTGCTGTGCTCGTCACTTCTGGACCAAAATCTGCAAGCCGGTGCTCCATCAGGGGGAAGTCTGCACCAAACAGCGCAAGAAAGGTTCTCACGGGCTGGAAATTTTCCAGCGGTGTGACTGTGCAAAGGGCCTGTCTTGTAAAGTATGGAAAGATGCTACCTACTCCTCCAAAGCCAGACTCCACGTGTGTCAGAAAATATGATCACTTCAGAGAAAATGCATCACAAGCAGACTGAATCTGCATTTAGTGCATCACAGCACAGTGGGAAATAGGATTTTGCTCTCAGAAGAATGGCTAATGTAAGGCATGTGATAAGAATATGAATCACAGAGTGAGAGAAAGAAAAAGAGAACTAAGTCTAGTGGAAAGGGTGACGAATGTAGTACAACTAGTGTGTTTCCATTATGCAGCTTGTTTTGTAAATAATGTGCACACTTGTGAAAATGCAATTACTAAAAAAAGAAAGTACAGTGAAAATCACTGACCATGTGACTTCTCAAGAGTTTAGGCTGTGCTGGAGGATCGGTTTCCTCCAGATAGGAGATTATCTATAAAATAAAAGCCATATTTCTACTCCAAGTTATAGTTTGATAAAACACTCCCAGTGTATCTTGGTATACATAGAATGTAAAACATGAAAAAAAATGTTAAATAGGAAATGAAGCAGAGTTAATTTGTAACACAGATCACCATTTAATTTGAAACACTGCTTTTACTGTTCAATTAAAGGCCTTGGTACACACACACACACACACACACACACACACACACACACAGAAAGCAGTTGATACTTTCCAAATAATTTCAAACTAATTGCAGGTCTTCCATCAAGGCCTTTATAAAAGGAAACAACAACTTGTTTTTCCTCAAACTGCTTATTTGTGTTTCCCAATATTTACTTTCACCTATACGTAATCAGAACCAGCATAACAAGACAGACAAAAGTAGTCCATTAAGATTCTCAAGGGACATTGTTTCATCTTTCTAGATTGTATGTGATGCCTACCATGAACACATGTTATTTTTCCAACCTAACCCCAGTTGTCATGTAAAGTGCAGAGAATTTTCACAGATTACCAATCTTTTTAACATAGTCAAAATGTATGGGAAACCAAGCTAATAGAGAGATCATTACTTTTTCAGGCTTCGGCATTCCCTGAGTGTTGATAGCATTAGACAGGTAAGCACAGGTATTCCTTACGTGCTCTGCAGGATGGCGGGGTAAAGCTGAGAATGCAGACCGGAGCTGCATCTGTCCCGCACTGAAGCCAGCGAGGAATGGGAGAAACTGTTCAGTAACCAGGTTTGGGAAATACATAGGCATGTCTGAAGCACAACATGACTTCATCTTTGAACCCAAGGCTGCACAACCTACGTGGAGTTTCCTATGGGATATGCGATCTCAAAATACTCACCACACAGATGATAACAGTGTGAGGTCACTAGTTGACCTCAAAATATATATTTTATACATTTGAGGTCCTAAAGTAATATGAGGAGTTCTCACAAAATGAATTCTCAAGACAGGGAACACATAGTAAGGTTCCATTGCCCTAAATAAGCTCCTAACTGGCTGGTAGCAACATCTGATTTTTCTGCATCAACCTTCCCCTACAACTTCTTTTCTCCCACAAAGATACAGTTTCTGTTTTCTGCATCCACTGATATATATATATATATATATATATATATATATATATATATATATATATATAATGACTTGTAAGATCTACATATTGCTAATCTATAAAAACCACAGGTTCTTCATTCTTTGAAATCATTTTATCTTTTTTTTTACTTTATCACTTCTAAACATTATGTCTAAAGCATAAGGTAAAAATTTATAGTTCTTACTTTTGACCTTTTCTTTTATAAACTTAAAGTCACTCCTTAATTTTATTTTTTTACATAACGTTTATCTTTAGTCTCAAATTCAAATTCTCCCAGTAGAAATTGAACCTGAGCCTGCATGTCTGTTAAAAATTTAAGCTTCCCACACACGTTTACTAGGATAATTAAGATTTACATTTCCTCCATATGTCTGTGAAAACAAAAATTTTCAAACTAACCTATTCAATAACCAAAGTCTGTACAAATAGGATTCTACACGCTGGGCAACATAAAAATTGAGCATTTCAGTCAAATGTTTCCTATGTAACAATTACACTTACAATCTGGTTTCTGCATTATTTCCCTTCTGTACATCCTTTCAAAAATTATTATTTGAAGTAATTTATTTACAGGAAATGTTAATGAGATGTATGTTCTTATAGAGATTTTTCTTACAGAAAGCTTTGTAGCAGAATATATTTGCAGCAATTGACTTTGTAATTTAGGGGAAATGTATAAATAAGATAAAATATATTAAATTTTTCTCCTTCAAAAATTGAATTTAAGTATCCCTGTGTTTTTCTTATGGGAGAAGTTTTCATAGAATCATAGATTTTCAAAGTTCAAATGGACAGGGTCTTATTTTTCAGTCTGAGTAGGAATCCTTTGGACAACATCACCATAAGATGGTGCAAGGCAGCTCGCTGTTATTGAAGGTAGCTTATTTCATGGCATTACAGCTGTAATTGTTAGAAAGTTATTTTTTCAGATTATGTTTTCTACCCATTTATTCCTATTTTTGTTTTTTGGAAGATCTTATAGCAGGGACTCTCTACAAACTTCTTCAGAACTCTTGAAGCCACCTAGCATATTTCTTATAATCATCTCTCCAGGTTAAATTTTTTTCAAAATAGAAATGCCAGCATGCTTAGGATATTGGTTCATTCTTCTGTGGTACAAAGACGATACAAAATATATTTGTCCCTGTATGGCTACACTGATTCCCTGGCCCTGAGTGAACTCCAGCCTACTTCCTGGGAAGGTCTTTCCGCTGCTTCCTGAACACCGAGATGTCGGGAAGTACTCACCAATTATGAGACCAGGAGTAGTTGTAAGAACCCACGTTATACTGAAGATGGTAATGGGCTGAAAATGTGGAAAAATAAACATTCTGTGACATAGTGGAACAGATTAAGTATAGCCATGGCAGCTTGAGGAAGCTGAAACAGTCCCATAGCTACAGGTCAGAGTTGAAGATACCTCAAGCACTGCTGAAGTAATTCCCACATTGCTAATTATTCACTTAAATGTATTTATAAATAGTTAATCTGTTTCCTCAAAGTCAGAATATTTATATTTCCCAGATGCAGTGTATTTTATACTATAACAATCATATGTGTGTAATTTTTTTTTCTTTTCCACTGAGCTCAGTGAGATGCTTTGAGAAGTGACAAATTGTTCTAACTTCTTTTTTAACCAAGAAATGAAATGTCTATTGTAGCCTTTGGATTTGAGGAAATAATCACACCTTTCTCTGTCCCCAAACTAAGGCCATTTGAGAAAGAGGTTAAAACAGAAAGGCAGATGATGACAGATTATCCTGATAAAGTTAATATTGGAGAGTGTGGGGTGTAACTGTGGGCAGAAAGACACCAAAAAGAGACAGAGTCTGTGCCCATCCTTAAGCAAGACCAGACAACATACATTCTACCTGTGGGAGGTGCCCCTATAAAATTTACAACATGGATAGGCAGAGCAGAATGAAACACTGTATTCTGGCAGTAAGTGCCAAAGAAGAAGGGTGGGAAGGCATGGAATTCTGTATTTCTCATTCAAGAATTTCATTTGAAATTCTACAAAAAATCAAGTGAATACAAAATCTGATGAACAGAATAAACTGGTGAATATAATAGAATCAGGGGCATAGAAAGGGAGTGGACTGACAATTCTCAGGGGAAAGGGGGTCTGGGGGATGTGGGAAGAGACTGGATAAAAATCGTACATCTATGGATGAGGACTGGGGGGGCGGTAAAGGCATGGGGTGGGGTGGGAACCAAGTGGAGGGGAGCTATGGGGGGAAAAAAGAGAAACAACTGTAATAATCTGAACAATAAAGATTTATTTTTAAAAATCAATGGAAAAATATCCTCAAGTGAGGATAAAAAAGATGAAACAAATGTATAATTTATACCACATGAGAATAAGGAGTGAGATGGAGAGAGACAAAGATATACTCTGCATTAAATAACATTAAGGGTTAGAATGACCCCCCCCCAATATCATTCCCAAATCTCTATATTTTAACCCATTATACATACCATTTATCTATGGTGAAGATATGGGTTTTAACCCAATCTGATCAGTTATCTCCTAAGGCAGTATCTAAGGAGGTCATTCCCCCAATGCAAATCACTCTTTCTGTATGGCTCCTCTAAGAATAAATGGTAGGGAATTATTTTATTTCTCCAAAATTGAAAAATGGATGAAAATACTTCATTAATTCAATTGACTCCAAGACCACACTATATGCAGAACTGGAAAATAACTCCTTTTTTTTACCATCCCAAATTAAGTTTACCATAGTCTCTAACACAGTCTATCAGAGGTTCTATCATGAGATTAAATGACACACTGGATATCTGATAATAAAATGTATAAACACACTTCAATCATAAAACTGCCCCAATTTTGAATATCAATTCTCTTTAAAATTCTTAGAAGAAGTTAAAGTACACAGTTTAAATTTTAACTTGCATGTTAAAGATAAAAAAAGTTAAAGTCTGTATTTCAATGGAATGACAGACTGCATTTTTAAAAAATATCCAATGAATTTTTAGCATACACAATGGTAAGCCAAAGATTTCACCACATTTAGGAAACATGCCAATCTCCAGCTCTTAGAATAGGTATCTTAGAAAATGTGCTAGGACATGGTGTTATCAAAAACCATAGCAGAGATGCTTGACATCTGAGTGAAGGAAGATAGATGGAGAAAAATCTTTGTTTTGGGAATGCTAACAATTTTTTAAAAATCCCAACAAGCTAGCTGAAAACCATGACCTCTGTACTTAAATTTACTTGAGAAAAATGTTACACCAAGACTTTAGCTATGGCACTAAATTTTACCAAATAGTGGGGTGGGAGGAGAATCCACCTGGGTGTTCTCCCTACTTTTAGAGAGTGTGAGGCATTGATGCCTTCATGTAAAACTGGTCAAGTTTAGAAATTCACCAGATTTATCGGGGCTTCTTTCTTATGTACCTAACATAGTCAAAGCAACACCAGTGCTTAACTGAGAACAGGTATGGTATGGTGATATGACCACCACAATATCTTGCAAGCTAACTTTTTAGGGGCATGCCAGAGTGGCTGCTTCTACTACTGCAAGCTGTGGAATTACTTACTTACTCCCTCATCCCTGCTTTTGTTCTAGAAGCGAATCAGCAGATTTCTGAAATAAAATTACTACTGATATTTACAAAACTATTTTCAGAAAGGGGCAAGAAGACACTTCCAACTTTTCTTCACTCAACACACACTCACTGAGAGCACCTTCTATGCGGTAGGCAGCTTTGTAGGCACAGTGAGTAAAAGCAGAGAACCATACCAATAAAGTTTGCTTTCTCACCATTTTTACATTCTAGTTACTTTTTAGAGCAATATCTAGGAGACATAAAATAACTAGATAACTGATAAATACTATAAGAGACATAGAGGAGCACTTTGAAGAAAATTGAAGCATGGTAAAGAAACAGAGAGAGATGAGTAGTACTATTTTTAAGTCAATGGTCAGGGAATATCTCTTAGAGGAGAGAAACATGATCAGGAACTTGAGTGAATGAAGATTTGGCAATACATGGTCTGGAGAAACAGTGGCATGAGAAGTAGAAGAGCAAGGCAAGCATTTGACAATCTGAAGAAGTAGAAGGGGAGGGTGAAGTGGGATGGGAAAGAGGGAGAGGTATGAGATGAGATCATAGAAGACATTGGGTCAGATTGTGTAGAACATTATTGACCATCATGAGTATTTCTATTTTGAAGGGATTTGGAACTGGCAAGAGCTTGTGAGCATGGGAGGAACATGAGCTAATATGTTTTCAAAGGCTCACTCAGGCTGCTGTGTGGAGAAGAGACTCTAGTGTATCCAAGGCAAGGACTGCTGGTGGCTTAGATTAGCGAGGTAAAATGCAAGTCATGAGAAAATATTGAATTTGAGGTCTATTGGAGATAGAGACAATGGGATTTGCTGCTGGACAGTATGAAGTTTTGGAGAAAAAGTAGAATCTCTTTAGCCTAGCATGAGGATTATGAACAAAGAAAAAGAAGTTGTTGATTTAAATAAAAGGTAAAAAATATTTACTGTAAAATGGCTTTGCATTTAATATAAAAAGAAAGAATTGTCCTCAGTAGAATCTCGACAATTCTTTAGAAATTTGCCCTTTGTAAGTTTCTCATCATCCAGCTTGAGGACTCAAGAAGAGGGTTTGCATCAACCAAAAGAGAGAACTTGTTCAATGTACTAAGAAAAAGCAGTTGCGGACAAATGGATGAATAAGGCTGGGGCAGGAATATATAGAAAAGGAAATAAACAGGGTCTAGGGCACAGAGGTAGAGCAGAGATTCAAGTGGAGGGTGTAAGAAAGAGATGCATCAAGTGGAATGCTGGAAATCCTAAAAGGTGTTAATAAGATGCTTCAATTTAATACAGATGTCAAGGAGTGTCAAGGAAAACTCATGGGAGGAGAATAGTTGACTCACAGCAGTAGGTTTAGAAAACAATTTTACCAAAGGGTGTAGCTCAGGCAACACTCCCATTGACAATGGGCCAATGAATTGCATTAAAGGGCAATTTGTCAAGGCAAGTCTTTCAGTCTGAAGCAATTGTATAGTACAGTATTTGGAATTCTAAAGAAATAACAATATGCAAGTAATTGAAGTCATTTCATGAGAAATACACTTGCCATCATACCTCTAACACATACGTCATGAATACCACAGTGCAAAACCTTTTAAAATTTCCTAGGGGTCCACATTTCTTATAGATGCCATGGACTTGTTTTATTTGCTCCACACCTTCCCACTTCACTGCACCTGCTACCCCAGTCATCATTCTGCTTTTAATGGCCCGGCAGCCTCCAGGGCCTACTAACAGATGGAGAACATCAGATCAGCTAGTGCATGTAAGATATTCTAAGCCCCACTTAAGCTTTTCAAGGAGACTTTGAAATTGAGATCATTTAATTTTCCATTTCTTTTCCTACCTGGCCTATCGTTCCTTACAGCTGTGTTCTTGTCTGTTCCAATAACCATTTTTTCTGTGCCCAACTGTATGACTTAAAGTTTATTTAGATAACATTCAGACTGAGTGTTGTCTGTGGAAATTTTAATGTAACATTTAAGCTATTTAACACATGTCCACATCTTATAAATTTCCAAGATCCAAATATAGTGATGCTACCTTTTACAATGCCTGAGAGGAATACACAGCAAAACCATTTCACATGTTTCAAGGGATCTTGAACTCTCTATGGGGAGTACACTCCCCAGTACACTCTGGGCTT